GTGAACACAAGTTGCAGATGGTCTGTTAAGGCAATATTTACGATTTCTTTAGGGTACATACCCACGTGTGGTTCGTTTCTATTTTCTTTTCTTTTCTGTTTAACTTTATTTTATGCGCCGAATTTTAGGTTGGAACACATCTGCGGAAAACCAGACGAAATTCGCGCGAAACTAAAAGCAGTTCCCCACATTTTTTTTTTAAAATGTAAAATGGATAACGCGCGTACGTGTTTTTCGTTCTGCCATTGCAAATATAATGCTTTCAACAGAAACACATAATGACAAATACACAGCGCAAAAGGACAAAAAGAGAAGAGACACACCTTTTGTCCTTTTGCGCTGTGTATTTGTCATTATGTATAACCAAAACCAACTAGCCCAACTTTCTACTTTACAACAGAAACACCTTTATTTTTTATTAATTCTATTTAATAGCGTCGAATATTTTTTTTTGTGTGTGTGTTCCAATTTTTGTTTTGTTTGTTTTTCGCACATGTGCCGTGTAATTTCAGATTTTTCTTTTTTTTCCACGCGTGCATTTTAGTTTTCGCCGAGTACGCGTACACCGTTAGAGCGTAGTATTTGCGGCGATTGTCATTCGGTCGTGAGAAAAGAAAAACCGGGTGAAACGGGCCATCGCGCTCGCCCTCCATGTGCATCCCGCAACCTTGTAAAGTAGAAGCGACGAAGACCCTGAAACACGCTTGATGTACCGTTCACCCCCAGTCGGGTCTCGCTCGTCGGCGGGCTGTGCGAGCCACGACGAACTGTATTGCCCGTCGCCCCGAAACGCACGGTAGTAGGGGCCGTACATCATGCCGCCGACAAGCTGCAAGGTCATTTGTACACAACACGACAAAGCTAGCACCAACGCGTAAAAGAAACGCGTCGCCTCTCATTGGTCCTTTTTTTTTTATGCGTGGTTTAGCAGGCAGGAATCCTACACGGACCAATTCACGGCAAAACCGATCTCGGCGGTGTGCCGGGAGTCGACGTCTGTTCAAGCTCGTGAAAACAGCAACAACAACAAATGCTTTGACTTGGGGTTATTTGGTGCTGGTGTGACCATCTCGTTCAACCCATTGAAAATAAATATAGCGAAAACTGCCCTGTCAAACTTATTTACACAAATACGCAACTTACACAAATACGTCTTGAAATTAAGATAGGAGGCACCTCTAGTACGCCCTGCCACTCGCTTCGTCATTTTATTATCTAAGTAAATTAAATTTCCAAATTGCCTCAAAATGCGCTCAAAATGACAAAATTGTCATATTTCTGGATTTTATTGAAAAATCTCCAGCACTCTTAAGGGAAAATTTAAGGGTCGTACGACCTTTATTACATCTTAATAATGAACCTAAAAAAATAATTCAATACTTTGGTTCATTCCTGAAACTCAGGTTTGTGTGCATGCATTATAGGACTTTGGAAATAAAGGTTGCCGGCAATTTTTTTTCTTTTTTTTTTTCCTTTGTATTTTATTAAAGATATTTCACAAAAACAGCACGTGAGCGTTCATGGATGTGGTCATTTGTATGTACACTTGCGCATAAACCTGATCATGAAAATGCGAAAAAGCGAGAATAATCGTGTTCGTGATCTAGCTGCGAGGTACCGCGTGTACGCGTTCATGGCGAAGTTTGGATGACAGCTATTACTGTCTGCCGCAACAGGAGATGCCCACAAGCTTCATCCCAAAACTCCCGGAGAAAGAGGAAAAAATGTGTTTACCAAGAAAAGTACGACGCCGACTTGTTATAAAACACGAACACCAAAGGGGTATACAATGGCGGATACAAAGGGAGAATCCAAATGCCCCCCCCCCCCCCCTTCCTTCCACTAACCCACTTGAATTCCGCACGTGCGAAATTTTAGAACGGGGACAAAAAGGGGGTGGGGGGGGGGGGGTGGCTCTCAAACATCCTATACGCTGACCCCCCCCCCCCCCCCCCCCCCCCTCCTGGAAAAAAATTGCATCTACTCCGGGGGACATGAAATAAAATAAAAGAAGAAGCCCAATTCATTATAAACGCAGCATTTTTCTGGCGCCACAGAATGAGACGCTGCTAAACATTTGCCTCTAAATTGCATACAATAGACCCTTTTCGAAAGTTCATCAAGCAACACTGGTGGTCGCCATTGCATGGACACGAAGTGCGTGATTGGGTCCGAGTCCTCGCCGAGCGATGACGTCAGGACTCGTGTCCAATGCAAGCTCAGGGTATGTGAGCAAGCAATGGCGGTCAGGCGTTGGCTCAAACTTCTGAAAAGGGTCTATTGCTTGGAAAAATATAGGGAATTGTCAGCTTGGTGGCGTTTAGCATAAGGGGTATTCACGCGGGAGATGCTTTTCGGGAAGGGGTGTGCGCGTCGTCAATGATCGGAGGAACCAGAGGGGCTCCGTCCCCGACCCTAGCATTCACACGAGCGGCGTGGAGCCGAGAGGGATGTCAGTGTTATCAGATGCATTTAGCGGTAGCACTCTCGGCAACAAGTCTCGGTGTACGCCGACAGGAGTAGACACATTAGGGCGTGCTGGAACGGCTATACGCGATTCAGCGCTGTTAAATGCAGAAGAGGACGATCTGATTCCTGATAAAAGAAAGATGCTTCTTGAATGGGTGGGTGTAACGCAAAGGACGTGGAATCCAAAACCAGTTGTACGAGGAGCGGCTTGAGGGCGGCGTTGATGAATACCGATGACTCTTTTGGTGCCTCGGACAACATGCGCAACAGCCCTCAGCTGGGAAACTGCCACTGAGCATAGTCTGAAAAAGTGGCACCGCTCCGTACTCGAGAACCGAGCTAATGGCGATCGCAACGCCGCCATTTCTCCCGCATCGGCCGCTCGGAGAACTGCGGGAGTATCGCAATCGGGCATTTGATAGCGTCCGCTGTGAGTAAAGCTCGCGCTGCAGAACCCAGGGATCCCGGGTTCAATCCCCACCCATGCCCATTTCAATCTAGATGAGCATCGTACCGGCGTGCGGTCGTATATCACTACTGCGTGACGCACGTTAAAGACCCCAGGCTAGCGGTTGTACTGCACTGGCTAAATTGCTCATCTACAGCGAGTGACTCGCCCCAACTTTGAAATGGCTGGCCAAATACACACTGTATAAATATCCACACAACCCCAATTATTATTATTCTGCTGTGACTGTTGTGGCATTAATCGGCAATTTTGTGCCGAAACGTATGCAGTGGAAAGGCTGCAAACTCCCAGCTCTTCCTAACCGGACCCGCCGCTATCATTTACCGAAGTTAGGATCCATCCAGGTTGGGACGCGCTACCTAAAGTCAGTGGTAAGACATGGCTGTATAAAAACAATATTAATTGTGCCGCAAAACCCTGTAAACTTAAATTGTATGCAAGCATCACGCTCCTGTCATTTCGTACTAATCTCCAATAAAAGATCCTACAAAAAGAGCTTTTTTCGTTTGTTTTTACGCAAAAAAAACATGCTTTCTAAAAGCTCACAGTGACCAAAGTAAAGAAAAAAAGAAAAAGATTGAGCTGCCATCTTGGCACCTCGAGCCGGGAAGTTTTCCACTCGTCGCTAAAGGGTGGCGTTGTTATCGTATTTAGCTCGGTCTCGGTGGACGCCAGCGGCCCAGTTTTCAAGGGTGAGTTTCCCAACTGAGTGTTTTAGTAACGTTGGCAACAGCGCAAGCCACAAGTTAGGCGATCGCAATGCCGCCGCCGGTATCCCGCCGAGCAGAAACAGTAAAGTTGCCGGACGCGTGAACAAAATACCGCCACTTGCGAAGAAATCCACCGCCAAGGGGGGGTACTGTTTGTGCAGCCCGAGCAAGAGCGCCCTCATCTCCCTGGTATGTCTACGTCAGCGCAGTTCCACGCAAAGTCGTGACGTTATTACTACGTAATGCGCATCCTGGGGAACAAGGGGAGGGATTTCTCCCCCGTGTGAATACACCTTTAGGGACACTGGAAGAGCAACCCTCTTCTGTGTGGGCGGAGTTTCTGCTGCAGACAACTCATATGTGGCGGAATACAGTATCAGATTAGAGTTATCCAAAGTCCCGCTTGGCGCAGGAGACGCTCACAGGGTTTCAGGGTGCGCCACGGTCTCTATCGACTCAAAGTACGACTCCTAGCTCCACCCTTGACATGAGGATGGGAACCGCTATCAGATGTTTTAGTCACAAACGTTCGCACGTAGCCAACAATGTGTCTATGAAATGAGAAATAAAACGGTCATTTTTAACTGAACACCGACACGCAAATGACACGCAAGTGTACTCGTCATCTACTTTACTCTCAGTTACTGGGCCTCGCTACTTCAAGAAACTCGGGGTTTACTCGCGTTTCATCAAACGTATATACAGTGACAACCTGCCGACTCCTGCGAAACGAGCGTGAACAATGACAGGAAAGAACTACGGGGTGGTTATGTTAGCTTTCCTGTGTTCTTGTTAAAATTATCTCCGAGTTACCTCAATATTCGACCGTTCCTTCTTCAGGAGCAAAACAATCGTCCGTTCCACATTAGCCGGTATCGCACATGCATATATATATATATATATATATACTATGCCATCCCTTAGTTTCAGCGAGGCCACTCCGCAAAGAAAACCCTCGACAAAGCATTCCGACTCCCAGCGCTGACGTGTCTATCCCGGCTCCCGCCTCCCCACCCCAATTAAACCTCGTCGAACGCGAAACCCAAACCAACCGCACAGCGTCCGCGCGGCGCGTAAGTGAAAGAAGCGAGCCACCGCCTCCATTCCTATGTAACGGGAAGCCACCCGGCGAGCGCAGCATCTTCCTCTTGCATCCCGACATCCATCAACCCTCCCTCAGCTCCGACCGAGCCTCCAGCCCCAAGACTCCGCCAAGCGGCGAGGTCCCCCCTTCCCCTTCGCGTCTGGCCTCGTGGACTCGTCCACCGCCGAGAGGGTAACCCCCCCTCCTCCGCCGCCACGAGCTCCCACGAGAGAGAAGAGCTCCGATCAATGAAGTCAGACTCCGACTGAAACCGGCGGCGGCGGCGGCGGCGGACCCGACTCCCCGCCGAAACCGGCGCTCCGCCAGCAAGAACCAACCCAACAAGAACCAGGTTCCGGAAGACCATTCGGCACACGTCCACTCCCGATGGACGTCCTAGGGTACGCGACCGCGGGAGCGACGGGCACGTCCTCGGAGCCGACCAACTCGACGCTGCTCCGCGACCCCCGGACCACAACATGGCCGCTCGCCGGCAACCCTCCGCTCATCGGCGCGCTCCTGCTCTGCTACGTGTACCTGGTCAAGGTGGGCGGGCCGCGGTTCATGCGCGACCGCAAGCCCTACAACCTGCGGTGGGTCATCCTCAGCTACAACGCGGCCATGGTCCTGCTGAACGCCTACTTCGTCGTCAACTTCCTGTCGCGGTCCTACCTCGGCGGCGGTTACAGCGTCCTCTGTCAAGGCATCCGCTTCGACGCGGACCCCAGGACCCTGGAGCTGGTGTCCCTCTGCTGGTGGTACCTTCTGGTCCGCATCGCGGACTTCCTGGACACTGTCTTTTTTGTGCTCCGCAAGAAAGACTCCCACGTGTCCTTTCTGCACGTCGTCCACCACGTCCTGGTGGTTTTCAACGGATGGTTCGGGCTGTCGTACGGGCCGGACGGGCAGGTCATGTTCTGTATTTGTCTCAACAGCTTCGTCCACGTCATCATGTACACCTACTACTTCCTGTCCCTGCTGGGACCCGCGGTGCAGAAGCACCTCTGGTGGAAGCGCTACCTCACTCAACTCCAGCTGGCGCAGTTCATCGCCATCTTTGTGCACAGCACCATACCTCTCTTTGTGGACTGCGGCTACCCGAGGCCGCACAGCCTGATTGTGCTCTTCGAGTCGGCGCTCTTCTTCGCCATGTTCGTCAAGTTTTATCGGGGAGCGTACCGCTGCAAGCAACCGGCCAAGGCAGCCTGAAAAAATCACAACATTCCCTGTTCTTTTTTTGTTTTGGCCTTCTCGCTCCTGAACAGAAGGATCATGGAAGTCGGGGGTCCCGGACGAACTTTGGTCTGCCAAGACGTCCGCAATCACCACGCGAGGCCAGGTTTGAAAGCGACACCTTGCAATCACCTTACCGAGTCACCTTGGCTGGATCGAGGGAATCAGAAATAGACCGAGTTTTGTTTTGACTGTCAGCAAACGAAACGACCGAATTCGGCCCGTGCATACAGTTTTAGTGCGAATCGATATTAGACGGAGTTCTATCGAGGGCAGCCACTGCAGTAATGAACCCAAATGTGCAATTTTTCTCCTATACTGCCTGTGCATGCCTTGCCGGCCCCAAGGGTCGTTAGAACTCATAGACAGCCGTTAAACGAAAGCGGCTATGGGTAATACTTAATGGCTGGCCTGGGATTTGGGGAGAACAGACGCAGCAGGCTATTATAGGCTGCCGTATTATAAACTCGGGTAATTTGTGAGCAAACGAAACTACCAGTGAGGATTCCATGCCTGCAACAATATTAACTAACGCAATCCTGTTGAGCTAGGTAAAGTAGTTTTATGATTTAGAGCTGTTTTGGCGAGATCAGTGAGGCAATTTGTGTCAGAAAGACTCGATTCATTAGATTGAATGATTGAATGAAAATGTATATTTTGAAGGTTTATCAGCCCATGACTCTATAAAGATAAATTACCGAATTCACTTCCTACTATTGCTGGTGATATACAGTTTTAAATTTATCGCGGGTTAACATTGAACGTGCTTTCAACAGCTGCAGCCTGCAGGTACCAAAACGCATCTGTGCTCTGATTGTGAACATCGTGCGATGTGAGTATAGTGGAGCAAGAGTAGTCATAACGCCATGTTGGGTCTCAATTTTATTCTCACGATGGGAAGATAAACCGTGGGCATATCCAACAAAATCAGCGCTGACCAAGCCGAGCTGACTGCGCAGTCTGGACACCTTGTTACAAACGGAAAAGTACGTTTTACGCTCAGACATCACGTGACAGACGAACTTTTTTTTCTGCGATGCCAGACATTACGGCTGATTCACACATTTGACTATGAGTACAATCCAGTTCGTTGCAAATCCTCGTAATCGCTTACCACTAGAGAACCCGCTGGCGCCCCCTATCGGCTAACCCTGAAACCCTTCCGATCGGCGTATAACTAGATCGAAGGTTTTGCAGTGTTGGCGACATCTTATCTGCGCATTATCTGCGAGAAATGGTTCCTTCTAACATTGTCAGAACTACAGTACATCAGGCGCACGGTAGAAGGGTGTTGCCTAAAATGTGCGCAGATCGAGAGAGTTCTAGGGCTACTCGCTAGATGGCGCGTTGTGCCTACAATATTACGTCGATTTTTGCCGACTCGGAATCGTTTGAGCGGCGCGCATGCATCGCGGTCTGTCAGAAATCGCTTTAGCGTCACAAGTTTGCATACGGACAGCGTCAGCGAAGGGACGAATCCTTGATTTGGCAACTTTCCCGCGCTGCGAGCTGTATCCATAAGTGAACAGACATTTCGTAAACTAAAACAAGTTTCTTTTCTTTCTTTTTTCTTTTTACCATAGGCGACTTTCGGCCACCCTCCGCGAAAGGAGAATACGTAATGTTGATATGGAGACGCAAAACCTTGAACGCTAACGTTAGAACCAAAAAATTTCAAGCATACAATCAGAAAACAACAACAACAACAAGAGAATGAGGAATGCGCAGTATACTGTGTTGAATATGCTCGCATCTATAGAAACGCAAACGTTGTACACTACAACTACGAATCTAGTTTTGCAACGCAAATGCAAACTCAAATAATAAATATACATTTTTTTAATGTTTTACGACGTTTGAATTACATTACCACATATGCAACCACTCTGGAGGCAGCACACACCTACATTTCGGGTATACTGAAACCCACTATACAGACTTGAGCCAGACTTGAGACGATGCTGATTGTTCAACCGGCACACTAAAATCACCAACACGGTTTCCGAATGTTGTGACTTTTTTTTTTTTTTTTTTAGAGCGCAGCTTTTTGGCCCCCGTTTCCGGCTTGAGCGGCGTCGTCGGCGTCGGCGTCACCGCCATCATGGGACGTTTCCCATAATGACGTCCCACGTGACGTCACGTCATATGTGACGTCACGAGGGTCACCCTCGTGAGGGTCACGAAGGCAACCTCACAAATTACCCTCGTGACGTCACAAGTGACGTCATTATATAAAACACGTGACGTCACGCGAATATTCCCGCTTAGTTTTAGGGAACCGTTTTGTTTTTTTGCACGTACGGTACAGTACGAACCGCGCATGTTCGAGCCCTCTGGCGGTGGCGCATGCGCAGTTTTTACCGGAGGGCCCATTGTATACCGTATCGCACCTTCAAAAAACGGTTCCCTAAAACTCCCTAGTTTCATCGGGCTGTCCCTTGTGCGATGTATGAGAGCAGTGCAACTGTGACCTTACGGTTTACAGATATGCCCACGGTTTAAAATAAATATCTGAAAAAATAAAAATGAACAAATTCTGGCCTCTAGTAGAACGTGACAAAGTACCACCTACGAGCTTAGCGAACGCACAAACAAACCCAGTATGGCGACCTTAGAACGTGACACTGCTACTCGTTGCAATCGGGGCGATGATCGTGGCTGAACAAAACGGCGCTGCAAACCGAGAAAAAAGAGCCGCTCGCAGTAATTGTTATGCGAGTGACGCTTACTGCATATGCAGAGCGGTTAAAACAACAATCGTCGAGCTGGCTTTGTGGATATGTCGAGATGTTTGTACTATATCATGTCCGGCGAGTTACCATTAATAAACAAAACAAGTGTTTCCCAAAAACGCGCATATTCGTGGCACTGCAATCTCTCTGATCTATCCACGATTTATTGTGAAACGGGACAAATTATCGGGATTAATTAGAAATGAAATATATTTTAATATTCTACGGAGGGGAAAGCAAGCACGAAGCGGGACAGTGCTGCATCAGCACCGTGCTCCTGTCGTTACTCTAGTGGGCTTCGCCGCACTACAGATAGTCGAACCGGGAAAGCATGCTTTACAGAGCAGCTCGAACGCGGTAAAAAGACATGTAACCGAACCCTTATAGGCGCGATACCATCTTTCACGATAAACTCGATCGACATAAATTTTTGAACTTATCGTTCAGTTATTCCGCATAATGAAAACGTGGCATTAAGCTCAAATTTTACGATAATAAAATTTTGGTAGGGAAAAGCATGGAACGTTACCACGACTACAACGCGTGCTTTTGCTGGCTTGGGGTACTTGGTCTTTACACTGGTAAGCTCCCAAGACACGTACCCTCGCAAGTGGCACGCGCAAGACAATTGAAAGACTGTGACATAGTCCCATGGAATGTCGAATTTATTTATTTATTTATTAACTCGGAAGATCATCGTGATATTTTAAAAATATAATAATAGGTACATGCGCATTACAAAATATAGCGTTAAAATTAACACGCAGTTACGGTCGTCAGAAAAGAAAGAGGGTAAAACAGCACTCTTAAAAACAGATGAGTCATTAATTATTTCAATTTGTGTGTGTGTGGGGGGGGGGGGGGGGGGGAGAGAAGGGATGTGGAGGCGGTTCCAGCGGACAACGAAAGAATAAACAAAGTAAAAAAAGAAGTTCTACAGAAAAATAAAATGAAATCGTTTCAGATGCGCGGAAGTCGAAGTATAACTAATCGCGGTTCATCCGTACACTAACATTACGCACACCATTTGTCCAGCGCGCACGCACTTCATCTTGGAACAAAACGCCGATTCGATCAATGTGTGTAGGAGTAGTAACATACGTTTATTAGTCATGAGAAATTGATCTGTGCATCGATAACGCTCGGCGATACAACCACTGGAGAAATCGTGTACGAAGGCGCTTCGGAACGAGCACCCACGACCACCACCACGGCGTGCTGGCGTCACCTGGTATCGACGTCCTCGACAAAATCCGTAAATCCGTACCCATCATTCAGGACTTTGTCGCGGCGTCTTTCGTAGACGAAATCGGGTTCTTTCTCTCTCCCGCATCCTTTTCTTTCTTCTTCCCCCCTCCCTCTCTCTCTCTTTCGGTCTGCCAGGTGAAAGACTCGCAGGAGTATCTGAAATGCAATATGTCGTCCGCGCTGCATATGCCACGCCTCGTGCGATACGGTTCCAACTCGCCCAGGGATTTCCGCCGTATCTCCTTCTCCCCGGGCGCCTCGCATAATACGCACCGAATTGCGCCACACCATCAGGGGCTGCATTCCGACTTGCGTCAGACACAACCGGCGTCACAAAAAACAACACAAGAAACGTCTAGATCTTCCCGATGCAGACAGCCGTCACGGGCGGCGGAGAAAAGCTCACCGGAGAAAAGCTCACCGCCAATCCGTCAGATGCGAAGAGAAGCTCACCGGCCTTTGAGCGGATGCGGAAAAAAGCTCACCGATTTTTTTTTTTTAACTTAGGCGACTCTGCGCCAAACTTTCCAATTTAACATAATTCGCACTTGTCACTTCATTAAAAATATGTCCACTTTTTTGTAATATTCTTGAAGTTCATTGGGAATATTTACTAAGTCATCAGAAATTAGTAATCAGCCATTTTGTATATTAATGAATCCGGAAAGGGGGGTATAAAATCAGATCATCTTACACCGGTAAAAAAGACAACAATTTATTGACAACTGGCAGTGTGCCGTCGGTAGCTCTATCAATAGAGAGTTTTCGTAGATCGTTTTCGCCGTCCCGCAAGGCCCTCCGCAACCCGCTACGATAGCGGGAACTCCACAGTCAAGGCTATCGGCGCGCAGGCTCGGCAGCAACTTCTTCGTTGCGGAACGCTTAGCAGAGGGGGCAACGCGGTCTACGAAAACTCCCTAATAAAGAGGTTTGTTCTTTGTTCTTTGCGAGCTAGTATGAATAGCGGTGTGTGAACCGTTTCAGTTCCAAATATTGTGTAGTGCCTAATAGATAAGTAGCTGTTTGTTGATGTAATCAGTGTCGGCTACGCTGTTTTCTTTCTGTTAATTTCACTAACGAAACTTCAGTTGCGAGAAAAGCTTCGTCCTGTCGTGTTTTTTGTCTTCACTCCGTCGTCGTCGTTTTTTTCATCATGTATAACGTTCACCAACTCGGCCGATTCCCTGCCTTACATAAGACTAGTTCTTATACAGGTCACGAGTAACAACGGTGCCACTGTGCAGCTCTGGAGGTCATGGGTGGCTCGCCGTAGAAGGACATTATCACACAAAGGCAACGTGTGGAAACACCAGCACGAACGGCTAGAAAGCGTGCTTCTCCGTGAAAGAAAATTCCTCGATATCCTACGGACTGTTTTATCCTGTGTTCAAAAGTTAACAAAAGCTTCAAAGAGAATTTCCTGGCACCGCGTCGTTGCGCATGCACTTTCGGAATTTAGGCATTTACAGTTTTGATCTTTAGATTTTAGGTAGACATTATTAAGTTTTCGAACTTTTTCCTGCTCTTCAAGTTAATAAAGATTTCAGTTAGGCTTTCGTTGCCTACAGAGTAAGCTACAGAAAACACTCGCCCGCAATTATTAATTTGGGAGCAATATATCCAATAAGCTTAACAAATAATACAAAAAGGACATTTTCGTTTTTTTACAAAGCTGACGAATTTTCATGATAATAAAATGATATATGTTACGCATGATCCAACAGCCTACATATAAAAAGAAGTAAAAAAATTGGTGAGCTTTTCTCCGCATACGCTCAATGGCCAGTGAGCTTTTCTCCGCATCCGCCGGTTTTGCGGTGAGCTTTTCTCCGGTGAGCTCATCTCCGGTGATCTTTTCTCCGTTGAGCTTTTCTCCGGGATTCGCCGTCACTGGTTACGTGTCGCGGCGGATTCACGGGTGGGCTTCCTCGCGTAGCATCGTTGTGGCTGGAAAATTTATCCGCTAAATGTAGCGGGAAAAAAAAACAGATAGTTTTAGGGGCCCCAAAGCTTCGGATCCTCCGAGCAGATTGGAGAACCCCAGGCGTCGGGGCT